ATCCACACATGAGAGGCTCCATATGAAGAGCCCACGGCATGATTAGGAGTTCTTTATGCTTTTGTGATTAGCAGAGGATGTAAAGCTGCAATTTTGTGTTGGGTGATAGCATAAAGAGCAAAGCCATAATATTTTGTGATTGTATTGCGACATGCATCCCAATTTTTTTTATATATTCTACCTAGATTGAGGAAGAAAATCCGTAAAATTCGTAATTCGACCTAGTTCAGTCCAATCCGATAGGTTTGGATTGGTTTTTTGAATTCGTGGTTTGGTTCCAGATTGAAGAATTAAAAATCCGTAGTCCACGGATTGGTTCCGGATTGAACCCCACGTTCCGGATTGGAACCGATCCGGACCGTATATAAATAGTCTATATTTTTATTATATATCCTCCCCATAGTATCTTCTCTTATTCTATATAAAATCTAAACTCAAATCTAAACCTCGTATAATATGTTCTTTTATTACTTTTATTTTAGTTTTTAGTTTTAATTTGTAATGGTCTAAATACTTATGGTGAAATCAGTTTTTTTATGATTGTTTAAATTGTAGAACATTATGTCGCTATTATAGAAAAATATGTTGCTATTGTAGAACTATATAGCGCTATGTTTAGTATTTTATAAAATTAAAGTGTTATAATATATATATATATTTTTGTTATTTAATTATGTGAATCCGTGGTCCTAAACCGATCCAATCCGTGCTGAAATAGATTGGTTCGGATTGGTTCCAAGATTTTAAACGGATCGGATTGGTTTTGATTTTTCAGGAACCGTAGATAACGGATAGTCTGGTTTTATCTCAATTCGTCCAATCCGGACCGTGCTCATACTTTTTCTCGCTCCCCACATACCAACACCCTCAAACAACTCGAGCCATATCCCATATCTAAACAAATCTTCAATGGAATACTAGACATCTTCAGAAACAATAACAAAGAAAAAAAATTTTTGTTTCCTCACTTTCTAGTAATGTACTCAAACTCCAAAGATTGAAAAAAATATTCCACTACTCCCATCATGTTTTCATTAGACTTTGTAATTGGTGGAAAAAAGCATAATCCATGAAGGCTTCTCTTCCTAACCATTGATGCCCGCCGCAACCGTAACAATCGCAATCACATACCTCCACATTCCTTTCAACAGCCTTTGTTGGAATGAATCCCGTTGTGTGACTTGTTCATTCAAATTCCACCTTTCTTGAAGCAGAGATTCGATGATTCTATCTTCAGGTAAGACTTAACTTAATTTTCTCATGAGTGCCCCAATGTGTGCATACATCTTCACTTCTTAATCAACACAATTCTGTAACCTTGATCATCTCCCAAATGGAATTCAATTTCATCAGTTCAATCGTCACAAACATCATCTAGTATTCAAAGACTCTCTATATCCAATATTCTGGTAATACTCCTGTGCTCGCAGTAATGTTTCCCAAATAATTAAAACCCATCACTCAGTATCCACCTGGAATCAGACAAGGATGTGGTTTTGCGATACTACAAACAAAATACAACTCATCAAACAATTTATTTTTCTGCAGTTTCTTGGCAACTTCTTCACCAATGCAATCTTACCAACCCCTCTCACCCAACTATCCCAATCATACGACATTCATCTGTTAATGCCTCCATAACCATTCAAATATCCTAGATTCAAAACCCTTAAAACCTCCAACGATTGGACTATTGCTATCAGAGGCAGGGTAGACACTCGGAGAAATTTCCTTCTCCACATAGCCCTACTATAACCTTAATCTTCATTAGCTTTCCTACCAATGAGTATCGGACTTCAAATTCGGACAACCACCATTAAAACACCCTGTTTGCTTTAACTTCATCATCAAGAAGTTCTTGACCTCTTAACGATAAGTTCATCATGTGATTAACCACGCAACATCAAGTCCAATAATTTCTCGTTCGTTTACGCATCAACTAATTATGTCCAAACCCTTTGATAATCTAGTTTTGGACTGCTTTTTAGTCTTATGTTGTGTTGTTAGGATTTGAGTTGGGATTTGTGAAAAGGAAATGAAAAAATAGGTAAATGTGAATAAAATATGCCTCTATCATCTACTTTCATACACATTCTCTTTCTTTCCAAATCCCTTTCCAAATCCCCAATCCAAAACACAGCTAATGTTGTTTATTAGGAAAACAAAATCCCCAAACTGGCGCCCAACTGGGCAACCAAGATATTCTCCAATTCATCACAATGAAACAAGCAAAGTCAAAAACCATTCTCTGTCTCTCTCCTCTATCTCTGTCTCTCTCTCTTTGGAATTTTGATTAATCAATGCAAAAGTAAACAGAACTTAGAACAAAAGGTTTTCTACAACAATCATTGAAATGAAAATGAGGAAAGTGAGAATTGAAAACAGAATAGAACAAACACAGACAAAAGAAAATTCATCAGTATTTGAGGGGATAAGATGGAATACCTTGCAAACAGAAGCATGTACACTGAAATGAAGCTATCAAAAACTGAAAATTATTTGCTATTTTTCCCTTCCCTTTTTTATAGCAGTTTGACACAAAAGGTACCATATTCAACCAGAACTGCCTTGGAGTTGGATTGATGTTTATTTCTAGCTAAAATATCACAAAAAAATAAAATAATTTTTTAGGCCAATAAGAACCATAAAACAATACATTCAAATTCATAATCATAATTTTCTCTCAAACAAAAAAGTCAAAAAAAAATCAAAGTCCTCATAAACCAAGCTTTTTAAGCCTCAAAGCTAAAAAAGCGGAATAACCAAAAACTCAAAAAAATCAACTCAACTTCCCAAACCAACCAAGAAGTATTATGTTAGCCTTTACCCAAGACTAAGAACTATTATTTTAGCTCTAAATTATTTAAGAGACATTATTTTATTTAAACTATAAAAATTTTTAAGCTATAAGTGCTTACTTTGTCCTTCTTTAGGGATCAATTCATATATTTTTGTAGTTTACTAAATCTATAGACTCTTTATAATTAAAAAATAAAATAATACTTCTCAATAATTTAAAATTTATTTATAGTTAAAGATCAAAATTTTAGGGCTGAGCAAGGAATCCGTGAAATCCGTAATCCGATCCAGTCCAGTCCAATCCGATAGGTTTGGATTGATTTTTTGAATCCGCGGTTCGGTTCCGGATTGAAGATTTAAAAATCCGTAGTACACGGATTGGTTCCGGATTGAACCCCATGGTTTCGGATTTGAACCGATCCGGACTGTATACAAATAGTATATATTTTTATTATATATCCTCCCCCATAGTATCTTCTCTTATTCTATATAAAATCTAAACTCAAATCTAAACCTCGTATAATATGTTCTTTTATTACTTTTATTTTTTAGTTTTTAGTTTTAATTTGTAATGGTCTAAATACTTATGGTGAAATCAGTTTTTTTATGATTGTTTAAATTGTAGAACATTATGTCGCTATTATAGAAAAATATGTTGCTATTGTAGAACTAATATAGCGCTATGTTTATATTTTTATAAAATTAAAGTGTTATATATATATATATATATATATTTTTGTTATTTAATTATGTGAATCCGTGGTCCTAAACCGATCCAATCCGTGCTGAAATAGATTGGTTCGGATTGGTTCCAAGATTTAAACGGATCGGATTGGTTTTGATTTTTCAGGAACCGTAGATAACGGATTAGTCTGGTTTTATCTCAATTCGGTCCAATCCGGACCGTGCTCACCCCTAATTCTACCCAGGTCTAGCTCTGACATTTTGGAGATTCAAAGCAAACTCTTAATATGAGGCCTTTTTTACATTAAAAAAAAGAAGTTGTGATCAAAAGATTAATTAAATTTTAATCATACATATAATTATTAAAATTATTTTAAATATATAAAAAAATTTACAATAATAATTAAAAAAACTAAAATAATTTAAGCTGAAGTATTAAATAAAAAAGTAAACAAACTATACACTTAAATATCCTACTTCTCATATTTTTAACTACAAAATTACTAACCAAACGTGTATAATTCAATTTATTAACTAATCATTTTGAATTGATTATATTCCTAATGGAAAACGTTGTTCTTACAAAAAAATCATACATTATGTTTGTTAATACATTCAATCTTTCTTGTGACATAATTGACCGAGATAAAATTTAATCAAAATTTAAGAAGTTTCTTTCTCAAGAAACAAATGTAAGTTGTATAATTAATTGTGTTCTATACGCAATCTATATATTTGAGAAACAACTATTCATTAATTTAAAATAATTCACCATATCAATCCACTTTTTGATTTTTGCTAATAAAAACAATCATTCATTAGTTTTAAATAATTCATCACATCAACCAACTATTAGTTTTGATTTTTTACCAAACTTTATGGGGCTTTTCAAATTCAAGTAGATTTTTATTTTTATTTTTTTGTGTGGACTAATATAATAGCTAAAAAAAAGTAGAGCCTTTTTTTGCTCAATTTTTAGGGGCTAAACGCGTCTGCTTTACTGTTTTTGGGCCAAAGCTGGCCCTAATTCTACCTGCAATGTGAGAAGATTATATCTAATTCTGTAATAACTGCACATATGAGAAGATTATACCCAATTCTATAATCGAATTCATATGAAGATGAAAACTGTGACTGATTCACTCCCACTTTCTCTAGAACAAATTGAAGAACTAAATTCTCATACAGTCTTATCTTCAAACTTTTTTTTTGAAAAAAAACGAGTGGTCAAAAAGTTGGCTTCAATTGGGGGCTAGGTCTTCCTGCAGACTTCAATGAAAAAATGGAAGAGTAAAAACTAGTAAGAAGACCATGACTAATAAGTCATGCATTCCAACCTTCTTTATGCCGTGTTTGAGAAACACAAATACTTTGAATAATTTCTACGTTTGTTTTTTTTCTTTTCTCACCAACATAGAAACCCTAAAATATATTTCACCCATTTAAAATAATATATAAATCATATGTGTTTTCCTAATCTAAGACAAGTTTAACTACCCTGAAAAATAAACTTTTAACCTAACAAAAAACGCCATGGAAGAGATCACTTCTTTGATCTTCCATGGAAGCAAGTTGGCTAGAGAACTTGAATCAAATATTAACTTCTCATTGAACTTTGCCAACCAACCCTACCTTCTCACAAAGTCATGCGATGAGATCATAACGATCTTCAGTTTCGCCAGGGACTACTTGAATTCTCAAGGTTCGGGTTCAGGTTCAGGTTTAGGTTTAGGTTCAGCATGGAATGGACAAGTGCACGAGGCGCAGGTCTTGGAGATCGATGAATTGGGTCGAAGAGATATGGGAGGTTTTATGATCCCGCGAGGTGGTGGAGGGACGGTTCAGAGGCTGGATATGTCAGATTCTGGCAGTGGTTCATCGTCGCAAAGGCTGCGAAGAAGGTGAGGAGCTTAAAAAAAATGTGTTTCGTTCTTTATGTTGTTCACTAATAAACACGTAAATAAATGTGGAAAATACTATCTATTGTTAATTTTTGTTCGAAAAATTAACTCAGAAGTGTATAGTATAAATTTAAAGGCAATAGCATGTTATCACGCGTAGAATATTTATAGTCTATAGATATACTTTTTGAAGTAATTTTTTTACATATGTGGATTATTTTTGGAAGATAGTTATAATCAACTTTTTGGTGAAAAGTTGCTTATAAACAGCTTTTTTGTGAGAGAGAAAATGAGTTATAATCTGAAAAGTAGATTATAACCCACTTCCCAAAATAGGTTATATTGTTGATAAAATATACAATGAAACTTATTATTATTTTTTTAATAGATGTTATACAATGAAACTTTATGTTGATAAAAAATTAGTAGTATGAAACACAACACACTGAGAAATCAAAAGTGTGCATTACAGGCAACTGTAGGATCATGTAGTTTATGAACAATTATTGCATGCAGTGTTGATGTCATTTGAGAAAAACATTTATAAATAAAATTTGTCGGATACCCTATATTTCACTGATCCAATCTCACTATAGGAGTACAAAACTTTTTATTAGTTGATGAACCATCAATATCACTAATATACTTATATGTACGTAATTTTCATCACACTACAAGAAAATCCAGCTTTGGCGACTAAAAATGAATTTTCGTCGCTGAAAGTAGGACAATCGGCGACTAAAATGGAATTAGTCGCCAAAAGTAAGACAATTTAGTAGCCAAATGCATAGTTATTGGCGACTAAAATCAATTTCGTAGCCAAAAGTAGGGGTTTTGGCCACAAAAATCCGGTTTAGTCGCCAAAAGTGGAGATTTTTGGCTACTAAAAAAAGTTAGTAGCTAAAAGGAGGGGTTTTTCCGACTAAAACTCACTTTAGTCGCCAAAAGTAGATGTTTTTGGCTACTAAAAAAAATTAGTAGCTAAAAGGAGGAGTTTTGGCTACTAAACCTGACTTTAGTCGCCAAAAGTGGCTGTTTTTGGCTACTAAAAAAAATTAGTAGCTAAAAGGAGGAGTTTTGGCTACTAAACCCAACTTTAGTCCCCAAAAGTGCTGTTTTTGGCTACTAAAAAAAAATTAGTAGCTAAAAGGAGTTTTGGCTACTAAACCTGACTTTAGTCGCCAAAAGTGGCTGTTTTTGGCTACTAAAAAAAATTAGTAGCTAAAAGTAGAGGTTTTGCCGACTAAAGCTGACTTTAGTCGCCAAAAGTGGCCTAAATTTTTTTTAGTAAATAATTTATTTTTTAAATAATTATATTGAATTAAAATAATTATATTTGTATATATTATTATTTTGTATTAATCTGGTTAATATACTATATAAATAATATATATTGCATAAATATTCATGTGAAGTTGTAGTGGCATAGTGGAGGGAGTGTTGTGCAAAAAGGCTGGGAATATGGGATGGTTAGGGTTCGAAACTTAGGAAAAGCAAAAAAAAGTCGAATTTTTTTTTTTGACGGAAACACCTTTGGCGACTAAAATTTTAGTCGCCAAAAGGAAGGTATTTTGGCGACTAAACCGTTTAGTCGGCGATTTAGTGACTATTGGCGACTAAATTTTTAGTCGGTAAATGTATTATGGCGACTAATTTTTTAGTCGGTAAACACCTATTTTTGGCGACTAAAAAAAGTTTAGTCGCCAATACCCTCCGCGACCAGAAATACGCGACAAATGTGGTGACTAAAAAATTTTGACGAAGAGCATTTCTAAGCACCACCATCACCGCGAATCAGTGATGAACATTTCTGAGCACCACCATCAGCCGCTAATCACACCACCATCACCGACACCCCCATCAGCCTCTCTCTCTTTCTCGCACCTCCGTTTGCTGCCTTGTCTCCAGATCTACTGCCACTATTCTTCTCTCACTGGTATAGATATAGATACAGATGTACATGTTGTGTTGATGTTGATGACATAGATATAGATATAACTGTTGTTGTTAATGTTGATGATGATCATCATTGATGATGATTTTGTGGACTATAGTTGTTGTTGATGTTGATGATAATGAGAAGAAACAAATGATGTTTTGTTTCTTCTTTTTTCTTTTTTTTTTATTTGGGCCAGGAAATTTTCGACGACGGGGAAACCCGATCCCCGTTGGGGGACGGGGACAGTGATAGGTTCCCCGTTGAGGATCGGAGCCGGGGATGGGGGAATTTTTACCAACGGGGATCGGGACGAGGAGTTTGATCCCCAACCCCGCTCCGGCCCGTTGTCATTCCTAACAATAACCAGTAATAGATCTTCTATTAAGCACGTTGCTAGCCCAATCAGAGTCAAAGTAGGCATGAACTCAAGAGGACCTATAGTATAATCAAGCCTTTGATGGATAGTCCTTTTAAGGTATCTTAAAAGGTGTTTGACAGTAGCAAAATCAGCTTCAGATGGAGATTACATAGCTTGGCAAGCATAATTAGCAACAAAAGCAATGTCTAGCCTAGTAATAGTGAGATATTGAGGAACACCAACAATGCTCTAGTAAAGAGAAGGCTTAGAGAAAGCAACAAAACAAGAAGAACCCACTGCAGATGAAGGCTTGACAGACATAGGAGAGGCACAGGCTTTACACTGAATCATCCCAACTTTACCAAGAATTTCAAGGGCATACTTGGATTGGGACAAAAAGTACCTTGAAGAGGACTTAACAATTGAAATGCATAAGAAGAAATTAATATCACCTAACTCTTTCATTGAAACAACTGAATGCATATGGGCAATGAGAGAATTAATATTAGAAGAGTAGTTGCCTATTAATAATATGTCATCTACATAGATGAGTAGGATAGTAAGAGTATTGTTAGTTTGTTGAACAAATAGAAAAGAGTTAGAAGAACTGGTGACAACCATTGGAGAGAAGAAATTTTGGAGAATGTAGACTACCGGGCATGTAGTGCCTATTTGAAGCCATATAAGGCCTTGTTGAGTTTACAAACCATATGAGGAAACTGAGGATTAATGAACCCTTGTGGCTGACTCATGTATACTTATTCCTCCAACACACCATGTAAGAAAGCATTGGAAATGTCTAGCTGATTAATAGGCCAATTGTAATATAAAGCCAAACAAAGTAAAATGCGACTGGTGGGCTGTTTTGCAACTAGACTAAAGGTCTCATGGTAGTCCAACCCTTCTTCTTGGAGATACCCTTTAGCCACAAGTCTAGCTTTCTACCGATTCACTAAACCATCTAAGTTCTTCTTTAATCGAAACACCCATTTTGAGCCAATAGCTTGTTTGCCCAGAGGCAAAGAAACCAAAGTCCAAGTTGATTGCTATTGAAGAGCTTGATATTCCTCATCCATTGCCTTATACCAAGCCTTGGAAAGAAAGGCAGCCTTATAAGAGGAAGGTTCAATCATGTCTGAAGAAGAGATGGCAGAAAAAGAAATAGGAGAGGCTTTGGACCTAGTGATCATGGGATGAACATTAGTAGTAACAGGAGTAGAAGTAGGGAAGAAGCGAATATAGTTAAAAATCCACAAATAAAGAATCAATAGGAATAGGAGAAGAAGGAGTAGGCGCGATAAAAATAGAAGAAGAATGAGGAGAGTGAGTATGAGGAATAGGACGGGCAATAAGACTGGTAGAAAAAGACACATCATGCACAAAATTAACAGGTTAAGACACATAAGCAAAAGGCCCAGGAATAGGCTCAAACATAGCTGGACTAGCTAGAACTAGACCAAGACTAGAAAGAGGCCAAAAAAAAGTATGCAACTGCTTAGAGGATGGCTTAGAAACAGAGGAAAAAGTAGAGAAAGGAAAGCTATATTCTTGAAAAACATGTCTACAGACATAGACCTTACCAGTAGTAGGATCAAGGCACCTATAACCTTTTGTAGAGGGCATATATCCTAAGAAAACATAGGGTATAGACCTGGGATGAAGTTTGGTAGGCATGTATGGTCTGAGCCAAGGGTAACACAAGCAACCAAAAGTTCTAAGAAAAGTGAAATCAGGAGATTTTTGGAATAATTTTTCAAAAGGAATGAGATCCTTGAGCTTAGAACTAGGCAGCCTATTGATCAAGAAGACAGATAGCAACTACATCAAACCAATTAGACAAAGGCACTGAAGATTGTTGTAAAAAAGCCACAACTGTTTCTATAATGTGTCTATGCTTCCTCTTAGCAACTATATTATGAGAGGGGGTGTATGGATAACTGAGATAATGATTAATACCATGTGTTCTGAGAAAATGCTGAAAACACTTAATATTTGCGAAAATGCTGAAAATGCTTGAATTCAATGAACTTAGAAAACACTTCACTTTTATAGTGTAATGGAAATAACCAAGTGAACTTGCTAAATTCATCCACAAACAAAGCATAATATTTGTAACTAAAAGTAGAGTTAGGGGTAGTAAAAGGACCCCATACATCACTGTGAATAATAGCCAGAGGTTGATTAACAAAAGAAGTAAAAAGACTAAATGGAAGCCTACGGCTCTTAGCAACACAACAATGTGGACACAATGGTGTAGACTTATTTGAATGCGTAGACAAATGAAATTTATTGCAAAGCATTTGAAGTTTATGTGGAGAGGGATGGCATAGTCTAGAGTGCCAATCTGCAGGTGCATTAGTAGCGCTAACACATGCTTGATGATGAGAAAAAAAAGGAAGAACAACAGGAAGTTGATACAGACCATGAGAATGAGAGCCTTTGTACAAGACAAATTTATTAGTCTTGTCCTGAATCACAAAACCATTAGCATCAAATGTAATAGTGCAATGGTTATTAGAAACAAGTTGATATACTAAAATGAGATTGGAAGAAATTTTAGGCACACGGAGAAAATCGTTAAGGGTGAAGGTGTGTGAGGGAGTTGGAAGTATACCATTACCTTTGTGCTGAATTGGAATGGAAGAACCATCACCAGCAACAACTTGTTCATGGCCTTGATAATTAAGGTTGATAAAGACTAAGATAT